GCTTTATGTTATAATCTCAATTAAATATTCAATAAAGTTAGAGGCATGGCCTCACCATTAATATTAAAAAAAAAAAATAATAATAATTGTATTATTAAAAAAACCAGGTTTCTGCAAAGTATATTTGTATTATCTGACCTTTTTCTAATTTTATTCAAAGTTTCAAATATATTTACAAAATTTTTATAATAGACTTAAATTAGATATGAACTAAGCCTAAAGTTTAAATTCAAAGCAAACTTAAATATAAAAATAACTTTGATATAAATTTGATTTAAAACTTAATTCTAAATTTAAATTTAGTTAAGTTTACTAAATTTTTATTTTTACTTATTAAATATATTAGTATTGATTAACAATATAAATATAGTATGATATTAAAATGTTTTTATTTACTTTTATATATATTATTATTAAATTATATTGTACGTACATTAGTATTTTTTAGAATTAATTGGCTTATACAATGCAGGACAGTATAAACCAACATTTCTTCAAGGTTGCTATACACATTTTTCGCAAAACCCATAAATCAAACTACTCATGTTCAACACCTCGATCGGGTACTATTAGGATTTATAATTTGATTATGGTGTGACTAAAAATGCAGGTAAAATTAAACTAGAGTGATGAAATAATTTTATCAATATTGTGAAATTAGTGAATTGGAGAAATTAGACGAAATTAATTTCAACAGTATCTCTAGGTATGACCATTATCCTGAACCGTATAAACACCGAATCTATTTTGATAATTTTAACATATTTATCACTTATGACCGAAGATCTTAATATTCTAACGATTTTCGAATTAAACCAAATAAATAGAATAAAAACCAAAAGCGTTAGTAACGAATAAGAAATGATAAAAAGTTTCAGAGATCAATTAAAATGTAAACGCGTTTTTTTTCAAACAATAATACTATGTTTTTACAATATTATCAATACAAAAAAAAACGTAAGATTATCTAACAAACAATTAAACAATTAAATGCACTGAATGCAGTCAAAATTAGAACATGCAGGCAAATTTTTATTCCAAACGCCTTCTTTATGCTTTATGCACTATGGCTACTAATATGAAATAATGAAAATGGCGTGGGAAAACATTTCTTATCACTGATATTATTGTTATATACCACTAATATACTATATATTGGTATATGATTGTTATGTATGCCACTAATATACTATATATTGGTATATGATTGTTATGTATGCAGATGATATCTCTCCGGTAGACGACAATGGTTTAATAATCAATTATAGTTTTTACCTTTTGGCATACCAGTACTTTTTGGCACGTACGTACTTTACTGATAGATTATAATTTATGAAGATGAAGTTAATAGCGGTGGATTTCGGAATGGTTGTAGTGTTTTAAGTAATTTTAGCAATTTTAAGCATAGATACAAGAATGAATGTGCAGTATGTGCATTTTACTCCACATTTTCACACTTTCACACTTTCATCACACTTTCAAAAGTTTCTATTTATAGTCAAACAAAAAAAAATGAAATCAATTGTTTATTATTTTCGTCTCTGACTTATTATTTTGAATTATCCCCAATCGTTATACGTAAAGATTAACGAATAATACCTTTAGATCGTATGTACGTATGTACAAATGGAAAAGAAATTCCGTTAATATTCAACGACACAAGATTCTCACTTTTTGAATGCACGATTGATTATGTCATGAAACCTCTTTTCTAATATTAATACTAATAAAGAAAGAAATAAACAAATAATCCATAAAAGGAATATCAAACTCGTGAGTTAAAAAAAAAACTTTATCTGCAAGATTTGAAACGGAAAATCGAAAAAAAAAATAGAAATTAAATAATTTTTTTTTAAAAATATTACATTTTTTTTTGTTAAAAAAATTAAAAAGTAAACAAATTAGTTTAATAATAATAAAAATGAAATTTGATATGAACATGCTTATTTTTTTTTTTAATAACACATTCGATAGAAATAATATTAATAATAATACTTTTTCTATGTATAAGGTTAACCGCACACATATTACAAAACTCGTATAAATTGTCACAGACAAAATCCAAAAACAAAAAAAAGGAAAATTTTTTTTCTTATTCTGATCATAAAAAGAATGAAATGAGAATAAGTTAGGAAATATATGGTTAAAAAACAATGTTTATATACACGCATTATTATAAGAAATTGATCGACAATTCTAAAATAAAAGTACACGTGTCGGTAAACCGAACGAGCATTTTTTTTGGTCTAAAGAAAAATAAAGATAAATGATAATGATACCACATCAAATATATATACATATATATATGTATATATATATAGTATCTCTACATCCATTTTCTAAACTCCATTCTCTAAACTCCATTCTCTACATTCTCTACATTCTCTACATTCTATGCAACTTTTACCACACCGGAATTTACGGCGTCAGAATGAAATTTATTATGATCATTGAAATTTCCATCAATTGGCATTTTCATAGCCGAAATAACTTCAGACATCGGATCAATTTTAGATTGTTGTAAAGATGTTGGCGTGGTAGATCGAGGTGGAGGTGAAGATGAAGGTGAAGAGATAGGAGTCAAAGTCGGTTTTCTCTATTTATAAAGAATCAGAATCAAATTGGTTAATATTAATAGTTATAAAATCCAAATTTACATTAAATTAACAAATTAAATTAACATTTAAATTAACCTTAATATGAAATTGTTGCAAAGATGAATCAGAGGTAGGAGAGCTTGTTACCGATGAAGAGAAACCATTTGGAGCATCAGTAAATAATAATTTAGGTTGCGATCTCGGTGTTGATGAAGGAATCGATCCTGTATCATTTACTATTTCTAGACGCAACGCAGCTGCAACTTCAGCCATTTGAATTTTAATTTTCTCTGGCTATAATATTTGCAATCGATTAATTGAAATAAATTGAAATTAATTAAATGAATTGAAATTAATTTGAAATTAATTAAATTAATTGAAATTAATTAAATTAATTGAAATTAATTGAAATTAAGTGTGAATCTAGACACTAATTAGTCTAGCTAATCAGTTAGTCTTGACTAACTAGACTACTCACATCAACTCTTCCACTACGCATTTCAGCAATTCCAATGTGCCCGGTATGCTATTTACATTTACATAAAAAAAATTGAAATTATTTATTGTAAGTTTTATATAAATAAATAAATAAATAAACAAATAAATTTCGTAAATTTAATATTTTATAAATAAATATAACACGCAATTGTTTTTGATCTAAAAAGTTGAAAGAATAAAACTTATTATTGATAATATTTGATAGAATACCTGAAAATTAGAAGGAAGTCCAATAATTCCTTTGTGAATCTTTTTTGGTCGTTTCAAAACTTTAGCTTTTCTTGCATTGCTGTAATTTTCACTTGGTAACCCATTGTGAAAGCGAGTTCCTTGTTTGTTTTGGTTTGGTATCAATGACAAAGAACTGATGCCCAAGGTTTTGGATCTTTGATGAGGAAAAGAAACGCATCCTCCCATTTTTATTATTATTATTATTAATGAATGAATAATATATTATAATTTTTTTAAACTTTGTTCTAATACAAAGTTTGCTGGCTTTTTATTGCCGTGAGACGAATTGAATTAATACAAAATTTGTTGGCTTTTTATTGCCGTGAGACGAAAGAAAGGTAAATATATAAAAACGTTACACCTTAAGCTCTATCTAAATTTCTGTAGAAAAAAAAAATTTAATTTTAATAATTTTAATCCTTTGTGTTCAGCCAATATCAATTTTGACACAGTTTATTTCCGGGTAGAATGGACAGGAAATAAATGTTACAATAAATTAAATAGTAGCGCAGAAAAAAAAACCCCAAAAACCAAACGATGTCTTTTTATGGCAAAAAAAAATAAACCAAAGGAAAAAGCCTTTTTATTTTTATAGAGTAAAAATAAAATTACATAATTTGTTGCGCCATTAAATAAAAATTCTTTACCATCGAAAAAAATGAACTAATTAAAGTCGGGGGGCAAGCAATAAATATTAATGTAGAATCTTTGTGCTTCATTTTTAACTATCTTTATTTGGAAGGATAATTTAAGGGGTAAAAAGAGAGATATCCCCAAAAAAGATGTTACATCCAAAGATAAACGACCGAAAGCAAAGACTTAAAGCACGATATAAAATATTTTATCAAATAGGAAATTTTCTTTGTTCATTACTATTGCTTTCTTTCTACGTATGCGGCACATCATTTCGGTTCTGTACGTAGGTATGTACGTACAGAACTATACATATTTATTGATTATAACAACAATTTGGTAATTTCACTAGTCCATCTTTCGATTCATTCCTCGGATCCACGTGAGTTTCTCCTATCACTATTGATATTCTATCAATATTAGATCTAACCTATTTTTATCTAGTTACCTACTTTTGTCATATCATATTATGCGTAAATAAGCATGAGAAATTTGTGACACTTTTATCTAAAAACCTGTAGTAACTCGAATCGTAACTTGAATCGTAACTCGAATTTGGGTTGTTAGATATCTTTATCAATCAATTATATCAATTATCATATAAATTTTTTTTTAAAAAAACTAATCTAACTAATTAATCTCATAAGCAAGATTAAATACCTGTTATTGTTATGTACATGCGTGTGTAATACCTGTATTTGCTAAACATCCAATAGTTGTTTCGAAGTGATCTTTCAAATTTCTATACTAGTACATGTATAGAAAACAAGATTCTACCTATCGTATTAATTGTAATAAATAATTGTATGAATTGTATGAATTGTAGTAAAGGTTGTTGTTAGCATATCATATATATATATATACTGTATGTATATTCAGTATGTCTTATCATATATATACAGTAATGTTTTGTTTACTCTTATCATTATTACAACTGTCATATATTTAACCTTTCAAAGCAATTTCATTCTCTACGCTGTCACTTTACAATTAGATCTTAATGCATGAGAACCAATTAAGTTTTCCTCATGTTGGAATACCCGGGTCTCTATCATTTTCCCGACAACACTTTCCCGACATACCAACCCTAACCTAATGCGGACTAACTTATCGGGATTTTGACATTGTCGGGAAAGTGGTTGTCGGGAAAATGATAGGATCCCGGAATACCCCATGTTGGAATATCCCATGTTGACTACCCCATGCTGGAAAGCTATGAACTTTCTATATGCGCAATCTACTTAATAAACATAACGGCGTGGCTTATGTCTGGCTAATGGTGTCCGGTTTTAACAATCGATAAAATAAAATCTCTATTGTTTCTGATTTGTTCTTTTTGTATGTATATTTTAATCCAAGCGTTAATGCACCAGTAAAATTTTTTATTCAGTACGTACATATAAAAATTCGTTTAGTTTATTCACGTGCATAAAAAAAGATTCGGTAAGATTAATTTGAATGGTTTTAATAACAATATTATCTACGTCTACTAAATTTATAATTTACCGAAAAACTTACTACAAAAGTCTTCTCTTCAATGTAATGAAAGATCGAAAATATAAAAATGATATATGATAAACGTTTGATCACTTGCAATATGAATTTTTCTTTATTGAATTCTCAATAAATACAAATCTACTGTGTGTCTCTTCGAAATTGACCTATATCATTCATGAATTTTTCTTTTGTTATTTCGTAATTTGTAACAATTCCAAATCTTAAATTCAAAAAATTCAAAATACATTTCAAGTACACAATAATCAGAATATTTTTTGAAAAAATAATTTAATTTTTTAATAAATCAATTTTTTATAAAATAATTGGTCCATCAAAATTATTATCAGTTATCAACTTGCTAATTATTTTTAAACAAATATTGTTGTTTATTTATAAATTTCTCTTATTTAAAAAACATTGTCAATTCTCTATACCAATAACATTTTGTGCACATGATTAATTAATACTGTAATGTAAAAAACTTTTGATTTATATAGTTAACTATATTGAGCTACATGTAGTATCACAGTGTTTCAAATGTCCTGGTTTTCGTAGAGCCTGGATTCTACAATGTCAAAGTTTGTGTAACTAGATCACGAAGTATAATTATATCGTCATGCAGATAAACAAATACCTGATCTAGAATCTAATTTTTAATATAGCTGATTTGCGTAGAGATTATATCTTAAATACTTTGTCTTCGTGGTTTATTTTCGTGGGGTAGACTTAGTGCTACGTTAAAAATAGTTTATTTACGTAGAAAAATAATGTGTTTCAAACTTTATCTTTATACGTATATAGTATTGGGTAAGAATTTGACACGACTGGGCAAACTATTGGGTAACAGCATACTTCACGTGCTTCACAGTAATATCAGTAATATCGCTTACTCAATACGTATTAGTAGCATTATATATCAATTTGTAATCTTTTTTTTTTCATTATAAAATACGATATTTTTATACGTATCAATTACCTTTTGTATACTAGTGGATCAAACACAGTTGCGAACTTTATAATATTCAAAATTTTTGATATATCAAATCACCTTTGAGTTTTAACCAAATTTTTGCAAAATTTTATATCTTACTCTAACCTTAAAACCTTAATCTAGTCTAATCTAATTTAAATTTTTACAATAACTTTTGTATTATATAAATCTACGTATAATTATATCTATGTTTTAAATATTAAAATAAATTTACTAATTTTTTTAAAAATAATCGTCTATCTTTTGATTAATTAATTTAATATAGTAATATTAAATTTTTATTAATAAATAAAAGTTTAACCATTTTATTTATAGCCAATATTATTTGAAATTCGTATAATTTTGATCAAAAAATTGTTTTATTAAATATTGATTCATATATTATTCAGTGTTGGACATCATAATGTCATGTGATTTTTCATATGATATTGAATCATATGAATCATACGTCATATGATTAAAAATTGTGTTATATTAATATATGACACTCATTTAAATGAGATTTTAATGTAACAAATAATGTAAGCCATGTCAGTTGTATGACATCATCGTCCAACATTGATATTATAACATAAAAAAGGTCCTGATATTTCCGCACCCTTTTTGATATCTACCCTCATGTAAATCACTTGTTTTTTTAACTTTGTATTTCGGCAGCTATTCAACCAAATTCAATTTATTTGAATTCTACGGCTCTGTAGATTAAATAAAAAAAATTCATCAAATTTGTCGGATGATTGTCAAGATACCTTCGATCAAAGTCATGACCATTTTTTCACGGCTAATATTTTGATAGAAATTTAAGCAAAGGTAACTCGACAACCATCAACCCAAATTCGATGGATTTTGTTTATTTGAATGTTACAGATCTGCAGAATTCAGATAAAAAAAACATTTGTCGAATTTGTTAAATGGTTGCCGAATTCCTTCGATCAAGTTTTAAAAAAAATTCAAAATATTGACCGCAGCAAAATTTTAATCGACAACTATTTAACCAAATTTGAATTTTTTTTTTATTTGAATATCAGGATCCTATAAAAAATATTTAAAAGTTATATATTTATATTATATAATAATTTGCTAATTTATACTGCAATAATTTTTTATTATATTAAAATAACTAATTTTTTATTCCAACCAATATATTTCAATTTAGCTATCCATTCTTAAATGTTTTATTGACTAGTATTTTTAATTTATATTAGCCATTTATAACGATTTAAAAATTTTATCATTATTAACGTTTTTAGACTAAAATAATTTTTATTTCTAAATATTATTAATAATTTTTTTTAATTAGATAACTATTAATAACTTATTAACATAATTTTCAGTGTTAG